TGGCACCATTGTCAGAGCAGGGAGAACAAGATAAAACACTTCAGTGCATGGGATCCATGCTAACCTGCAAAAGTGTACATGCACTTGGTATCTGAGAACTGCATTTTTTTCAAACACAGCTGGGACCCTTTTCCAACATTCCTTCTCCTTCAGAACTGAAGGCACTCACTCCAGTTGTGAGCAGAAGCTCCTGAGGAGTGAGGTGAGCACAGCAAAGCAGGTCACTTGGAGGCAGCATGTTCTGGGCCAGTAACCCCATTCATCCACCCAGGATTCCTTTTCCCTCAGACACTGGCTCGTGTTACTGGCCTTGGTATTGATTGCCAGGGAACTTTGACATTTGCTGGCTGCTGTTTGATGAAAGCAGCTAATTGGAGAGCTTCCTCTGAGGAAAACCTTTCACATATGTGAGTCCTTTGTACCTGTGCATGTGTAGGTGATACATTCTGAAACCTACATAAAGAAAAGCTGTTTGCATGTAGCATAAATGTAACTAACTGCTCTTGCTTTGCTAAACATTCACTCATAACTTGCAATTCAATTCCATCACCTGTAACAAAATACTCGAGACAACTGTAAACTAAATGTCAGCCCTCTTTCTTCTCAGAGAAGCTGCCTTTTTAATTCAGTAGAATTAGTCAACTTACCTTATTTGAAAAATACTTTTTTTTTGGAAAATACCCAGAGAGTTGGGTTTATAAAGCAGTCCTACAGAACCTCAATTGAAAATCATATAAAGTGATTCAAACAGAAAGGACTTAAAAGTGGAATATAAATCCTGATATAAGACTTCAGATGTTTTTACATACAAAGATTTTCTTTTAACCCTGGTACTCATCCATATTATACAGTGAAATGAACAAGCAGAATCAGAGACCAACAGTAAAGCACAAAAAATGTATTTCCATACTGCATGAAATTTAAAACAAATCACATGCTCCAGCACAGTTTCTTCAAACATCTTTTTCCAAACTCAACAGCTTCTTGGTAAGATGATTTAGGTGATGAGCATGCTTGTATAAATGCCATGTGGGCCACAAAATATGTACTCCACCTGCAGAAACTGCTGTCCTAACTTATCCCGACTTCCTTTGCACCCCGTATTTTCATTTTTTTCCAGTGCAATGATTGCAATAGCACAGACATAAGGCAGGACTTACTCCAACATTCTCCACAGCTCCACAGCTTAGAAAATACATGGGAGTTTGTACTGAAAGTATCTCCTGACAAACAGGAGATTTTTTGGAGATTATGTTGGCACCGCCTCTCCCCACCTGCCCTTTCTCTTCTCTTTATTTTTTGTTGCTTATGAGATGAATGGTTATTATCAGTTTATTATTACTGCTTTTCCACAGACTTTCTCAAATGTCAAGTGAATCTGATCTGGAGTTCAGGCCCATAATTACACTGGACCAACTCCAGGAACTCGTAAATAAATCGGGGGTGGCTGCTATGGTTGCCAGAGCTCTGTCATTTTGCTCTTCTGAGGGTGGACAGAGGCTTTGGCTCTTTTCTAAAATTCTACACTTGCTACAGAGTTTTTCACACCTTATTTTAAAAGACCCTAGGCTTTCTTACTGTAGTTTGGCATAGTTTTACCACAGGCACAGAAAGCTACTAGACTGCCACATGGTTGAATATGTTCATTTAGAGAAGCAGCTGAAATGTGGATTGTTACTTTTTAATTTTTTTTCCTGCTTTCTCTATATGTGAGAACCTCACAGGAGCAGACATTATTTCTGTCTCTGCTCTGGCCTCTTTGTTGACATTAGGAGTTTACACTGGGCTCTACAGTGAGGCACATCTTTGTCACAGTGCTCAGCCACAGAGGGCAGCTCCAAGGCTTGGCAGGAAAGGCCCTCAAGTGCAGAGATGTCTGGATTCAAGATCATGGCTTGAAAGGAGAGGGCACAGCATTCATTCCCAGACCTGGCTTGCTGAGGTCTGAGAAGTTTACTAGTGACTTTAAATGTTTCTTTCCAGTCTGTTTCTAATCATGTCAATGCACACAGAGCACAGCATCTGGTTACAGAACTGAATCTCTGGCTAGTGCAGGCTTGAACTGAAAACGGTGCAGATATTGATCTTCTGGTATTTTTGACAATTTTTTTTCCTGAAAAACTTCAAATAAACTACTGAAGCACATCATGAGAGCTGATCCAGAATATGTAACTATCCAGAACATGGTTCCTCTCTTTCAACCTCATCTGCAATTAGAACTAATCCCGATATCAGCCATTCATTGATGCAGATGACAGCACAGATCACAATTTGCACAACTTGATCTACAGTTGGTTTTTACCAGAACCTAAAATAATTCCTGAAATGAGAGCTAATCCTCAGTTCAGACAAGGCCTCAGACTGCCAACTAGTTCCAAATATTTTTAAGATGTGAATGCCTGTATGCTGCCAATGGGACCGAGATGACCAATTCTTTTCACATGGGTCACTCCGAGGCCAGCAAATGGTATCAGCATTTCCCCAGTGCTACCCTGGCTCACAACACACAGTCCCATAAAGGTGAAAGTTTCTGGACTCCTTTATAATGGATTGAGTCATTGTGTCTTCTGCAGAGCACTTTTCAAAACAAAGCAAAATACTTTATGGAGTGGAAAACACTGAATTATTTGCAAAAAAATGTCATTTCTTTTCTATATCCCTCTCCAGGGAGCCCATTGTTCAAATAAGTATTTGCTTGTGCCCCAAAGTACAGATGTTTTTGACTCTTGTCATAAATCAAACATGCTTATGTCTAACACATTAAAAAAGAGTAGAAAATAGCAGACATGGATTAAGATGGTTGGTCTGACCCAAATTATAGTTCTTCAATACTGTTAATTTTTTGCTGATTCTTTTGGGAACAAAAGATTCGACAACATCATTGTGCTTCCCTCTTCTCTCTTAGCATTAAAATCAATCTTTTACTCCTTTTGAAATGTAAATTTGAAATAATCATGTATCTGGATCATGGATTAAGTTTGCAGGAGAAAAGTCTCTGGCAGAAGATGGCAGGGACCGTGCCTAAAGCTAAATCCAGACACACAAATCAGCTCTGAGCTCGGGTGAAAACAGAGTTCTGGTTAAATGGGTTGCAGGTTTTCAGTTACAAAAGTTCCATCAAGAAACCATTCTGATATTTGAAAACAAGTAAGAACAGCCTCATGTCATCTACAAGAAAAGAAAATTTAGCATTCCAATTACTTTTTTGTCCCTTCAGACAATTCTCTCAGGCCTGTGTTAAAGGGCATTTTTTTCAGAATCAGAATTCCATCTCTAAACCTTGACAATTCTAGTGAGATGGTGCTGCCTGGTTTTTTTGTTTTTTTTTTAATAAGGCAAGATAAGCCTTTGATAGTTTCAAATAGGGGTGTTGAACAACAGGACAAATTTTCTTGAAAGGCAGCAGGATAAACTGTATTTTCAAGGTCAGTTTTTTAATCCATGGCTTTTAACCTTGCTATGATTTATGTTTGACCTCCTTTCCACAGTAGTTTTCTTCCTTCTCTCCTTCAGACTGGAAGGACACGTCTATGCTTTCATTTGATGTGGGTTTCATGTATCTGCACAAAGTAATTCATAACCACTTGGCAAAAGGCATGTGCCCACACCACATCATTATCCTGCAATTAAGAAAATTCTCCCTGCCACAAAGCTATAAAGACCAGTGATGTTTCAAGTTAAGCCCTCAATATTAATTCTGAATTCATCTAAGGCACAAAACTGCTGTGGTGCTGCAGAGAGATTTTGTAGCATGCCTTGTACAATACTTACTGAGTGTTGATTGGAAACTTTTTGTGTTTGCCTCATCTCAGCACCTTTCCACACCTTAAGATTTTCTCCTGCTTCTCTGTATAGACTTCACACTGATGTAGAGAAGTGCAACTGAATGGCAACTGAATGCAACAGAAGCATGCAACTGAATGGAACAGAAGCATGTTATTGTGTTTGGTTCTGGGCGTTCTCTACCTAAGTGGTCAGGTTTAACACATTTTTCAAATGATTTTTAGATTTTTGATTATTCTCCCTGTGCTGTTGGTCAGGTTACAGGTTGCTTTGTAAGACATGATCAAGCAGGTCTTGAATGATCTGTGTAATTCACTTACAAAATATTTGATTAAAGTAAAAGACTGAAGTGAAAGGAAGAGAAAAAGATTCTGCCCTCTGGGATGTTTAATATTAGTTTCAATGCTATGTTTCCCTTTCACTGTGTGGACAAACACCTTTGCTGAATCAGAGGTGAAGTCTGTAAGATGTCATTTCCTCCACCTTCCTAATGATGCCTTGATTTTAAATAAATACATCCAAGGGAAAAAAGTTTCACCCTTTAAATAAAATGTGGTGATGACTTCCCAACTTCTACCTCGTGTGGCCCCAGTAGTAGGGAAGGAGCAGGACATTTATCGAACTGCTCCTTTAGACACCTTCTCCCCAGGAGATCTTCCAGCATCTGCTGCATCCCAGCAGGAGCAAACTCTTCCATCAGGCTGAGACAGTCTGGAGAAGGGGTGCAAGTTAATAAAGAGCAGTCGTGTGTCTCTGAATGTACACTACAGAGAAACACCGTCCAGAAACGCTGCTAATGCAGGAGCACCCATAACCGTGAGTGACGGCACCGAGCCCTCCCAGCGCTCTGCTGCACCGGAGCTCTCTCGCTGGGCCTGCCCTCCTTTGAACAATTAAGGATTCTATTGGCCACGCTCGGTGAAAGGGACCCAAAAACGCCGCTCCCCGCCCCGCCGGGCGCGGCTCCTTTAAGGCGCGGAGTGGCGGGAACGGGAGCGGGAGCGGGAGCGCGTTCGGTTCGGTCCCGTCCGCTCCGGTCCGCGCGGAGCTCCCGGGGCCGCTCCCGGGCCGCTCCGGGGGGCGCCGAGCCCCGGGGCCGCCCCGCCCCGCCCGGCCCGGCCCCGCCCGCCGGCCGGAGGTGCCGCCCCCCGCCCCCCGCGGCCGCGCCGCTCCCCCCGCCCCGCTCCGCCCCGCCGACCGGCCGGAGGCACGGGCGGACGGACTGACGGACGGACTGACGGACGGACGGACGAGGCCGCCGGAGGCAGCGGCTGCCCCGGAGCCGCCGGGTGCGAGGTGAGTGGCGGCGGCCGCGCTCTCGCCCTGCTCTCCGCGGGTAGGGAGCCCGCACGGGCGCTGCCCCCCGGGCACGGCCGCTGCCCCCGGGCACGGGCACGGCCGCTGTCGCCGCGGCGGAGGCGCCGCGGGCTCTCCGCGCACCCGGGCAGCGCCTTTGGCGGCGGAGGCGCCGCGCGGAGCTCGCCCGCTGCTCCCGCCGGCGCCGCGCTGTCACTCCGGCGCGGGGCTCTCCCGGCGCCGCAGCCCCTGAGGATGCGGGGCTCGCCCCGCGCTCTCCGCACCTGCTCCGGGGCCGGGCTGCAGCCGGGGCCGCCGGCGGCGCGGGGCTCTGCGGGCACGGCTCGGCCCGCGGGGCAGCGAGCGGGGGGCGCGGCGCTGGGGCCGCTCCCGGGGCCGCCCGAGGCGCGGGGGCCGCGAAGCAGCGGGGCTGAGAAATGTTCGGAGGAGTTTTGTCTCTTCTTTCAGCTGCAAAAGGAAAGGCATCGGCGGCGGCGGCGGCAGCGCGCACGTGTGATGTAGAGAAAGAGGGACTCACGATGCTGGCTGGTTGCAGCTCGGCAGGATACCGGGAAAGGCGCACAGAATCAACAGGGCGCCTGTTGAGAGGGGCACGGAGCCGCTTCGGCCCAGAGCCCCCGAGCTGCTTTGGAGAGACTGAGCACTCACCTTAAATGGCTCAGCAGTGGGGTTCTGGCTTGCCCCGACTTGTCCAGACTTCAGAAAACAATATGACGTTTAGAAAGGGGGGAAACAATGTGATATTGTGATTAATAGGAGAAGAATGAGTAGGGTATGCCGATGGTTATCAGTGCAGTGCTTGTAGGGTTTTACGTAGAGCATGGATACCCTGTGCTGCAGAGCTGACTCCTTAATTACACCTTCGTGTCCATTCTACTAATAACACTTCTTGCAGTCTGATGTATCATGATTGTGGATTATGACTCTTTTAAGAGAGACTTAAGCAGTCTTTCAAAGAGTGAGTGTGCTCAAGTTTATTACTTGGCAGGGGGCAGCAGCATGAAGCCTGGGAATGAAAATAGGAAGTGAACATTACTCATTTAGTTTTGATATTGTGTCTTTGACGGTTATAAGTGTCATCATAGACTGATCGTAGCTCAGATAGCATCTCACGTACTGAAAGACATTACTCTTGTCCTGGTTGGTGCCTACTTCTTCTAGCTGTGCAAGCAGTCCCTCTGATAAGGAATATGTTCTGAACAAGTCTGGTTATTTTTATAATGGGCAAATGTGTTTCTGGAAGAGTAAACCAGACTGTATCATTCTGAAGAATGTTCTCAGCCTGTAATATCTTAATCTCATCTGTTCAAAATGAAAACAGCCACCGGAAAGCTGAAACCACTCTTGACTGATGCACGTGGCGAATGAGGTTTATGACAACAGAACTGTGTGCAGTGTTACTGCACTGAGGTGTTGCTGCCTCACACCTGGAAGTGCAGCTCGAGCTGAGGATGGGCTGTCTGCTGGCTCTGTGTGACCAGCAGTGGCAGAGGTCCAGCCTGAGTTTTCAGAGAATCAGTCCTGGTTGCTTTATGGTCCTTTTGGAGCCTTCATGAGATAGAAGTGCTTGTTCTGAGGACTGGGAAGGAATAGTGGTGATGTGCCCCGCTCCTCAAGAACAGGCTTGACAGCTGTTCCTGCCAAGAGATGTTCTTTCCTGGTGGGACACTGAGAGGCTTGAGATGTTACCCTGTTCTCCTCTGCCCCCTGAGGCTGCATAAAAGGGTTTTGGCCCCGTCCTTAAATGCATCTGGCTGTAGGTAATGGCATGGTGAGATGCTATAGAGTAGTTCGCTCAGTTTCAGTTCTGCTTTGTTTATCTGTGTGGAGGCTTTGTTACATGTTACTGGCAGTTAAAATTTTGATTTGCTATCCTGACAGGAAATATGCTTCAGCTTTCACTTTAAAGTAGTTAATTTTAATGCCTAAAGAGTTGTATCCTAGCATAGGTGTGCATGCCTGTGAGTTTATCTGGCCATGGTATCGTTACAAACCTCTCTGATACAGGCAGGACCAAAGTGTCTGTCCTGTGTAGAAACTTCTGCAGTCACCAGAGGAAAGTCATGGGTTTTTTCACAATAAAGCTCTGAACAAAATTCCTGTCTTCAGGTGAGTGTTAGCTCTCGATAGGTGCGGCCTGACTGTATTCCCCTGGGGGAATCATTTCACACCCTTTGTTTCGCTAGAAAATTTATAGTTCCCAACTCCACTGCTCAGTTCTGAGTGGATGCAAACCATGCTGACTCACATGCTGAACTGCAGCCTTGCTCCATGTAAACACAGGCACACTTCTAAAATATTTAATTTGTAATGTCCTCTGTGGAGAGCTATCCCACAGCTCCTGGCATAATTCCCAGAAGCAGCAGATTCTGGGGTTCTGGGAGTTTCAAAGGCCATTGGTGCCCAGCGGGATAATCATCTGAACTAGTTTAGTGTAGTTTATCCTGGCACTGGGACAGTTCAAACTGAACAGGTATTTAATCTTGCTTAAAGCAAGTCTGCTTTGAACAATACGTGGTATGTGCATGAACGATCTGGAGCCTGTTGGGACATGGCTGTCAGGAGATCTGCATGGAGGGAAATCTTTGTTATGGCAAGTACACTTTGGTGTAGATGTACCTCCCAGCAATTTCTAAAACAACCTCTGTGGGCAGTTGTAGTAAAACCAGGAATAAGCTATTAGAATATTTGTTTTCTTAGTTCCTCTCTGGCCAATACCAGTGGTAATTAATTGTCTTGTGAAATACCCAAGTTTATATCCATGGGTGAAATGCATGTTAAAAAAAGATTCTCAGAAATACAGAAACTCACACTCATTCATGCACGCAAAAATTCTCATTCTTTTAATTGAAAAGAAGTTACAGTATATGATTTGGCTACAAAGGAAGAGAGTGGAATCAAAGAATGATTTCTAAGTACACTTATTTTGTCTGCACCTGTTAAGTACAGTATTGGAGTTTTAAGATAAAAATCTTCTCCTTTAAAGCAGTAATTCATCCAGTGGAGACTAGTTGATAAGAAACTAGAGTTCTTTGGTTCTTTTGTGGGTTTTAAAATTTGGGTTTGTTGCTTTTTTGGTTATTATTGTGAGCTTGGTTGAAAGAGTCATCCAGTGTGAAAAGTACAGAGAGGAATTTGTGAGAGGTTCAGTGATCTTATGGATGGTCTAGATCAATCCCATATCCCTTGCTCAGGTGGGCTGTCAGTGCATTACCTGTAATAGTTAACATCATCTGTTTGCTGAACTGTGCCCAGATTTGCTGATGTCATAACTCATCCCAACATCCTGCAACGTTTTAAGCCTCCACTCTTAATTTTTTATTTTGAGAACAAGATTCTAGAGACACTAGAGTGGTGGGATGTGCTCAAAACTGGTTACATCTGGGTTGCAGAAGAGGTTCCAAACCCTGGAGAAAAAGCCCCTGGTGCAAATGGGGCTCTGGAGATCACTGATCTGGGATACAAACCATTGCTCCCAGTGCCACAGCAGGGCACTTGTATCCATGCACTGTCAGTGCAGCAGGAATAGCAAATCTGTGCTCTTACCTTTACAGATGGTAGGATTTGGAGGTAGTGTGCCTGTCACTTCTTTGACTGCAGGAGGGGTACCTGGCATAGTACTGTTTTGGTACAGGAACCATCTTTTCTATGAGTATGATTCAAGGCTCAACTTATTTTCCTTCTTTATTGATATGGGGAATTTCCTTACAAATGTGGCTTAATTCACAGATTAATTTCACTAGAAAGGCTTCTTTATCTGAAGTCTGAAATTGAAGTGTACAGATGTGGCCTGTTGTTGCTTAAGTGTGCTGAGAGATATGTTTGCCATTAGCAGAGTCCCATTAGCTATGAGGTAGTCTTACGACCCATATTTCAAAATCCTGCTTTCTGTGATGGCTGTTAGTGGCATTTTTCTTTGTAAAAGCAGAGGAAGTTAAAAATTGTTTCTGCATCTGTTATTGTTGCCATCACAGCTGTCTTTCTCCAGTTTTAACCATCCTATTCTGAGTAGCTCCTAACTGGGGTTGTAACTTCAATGGCCATGTGCAGAAGAAGTAGAAGTGGAGATCTTTCAGTGCTGTCTCCTTCTCTCAGTCAAAAAATACTTCTTTTGAGTTACACTACTTTTAATCAAGTTGCAATGAGTTGAAGCATTCCATTACTAACTCTGTTTTGGTGCCTGATCTAATGAGGACTGATATGGTTACAATGTAAATTAATTATATTAATTATATTTATTAATTAATTATATTAATTAAGCCAGTTCCTTAGCACTAATTAATCATGATTTGTCTTGAGCAAGACAGATGGTACCACTGATACTCTGCTTCTGAGACTTGAAAACTGGGAAGATCACTTGAAATTAGGTGATGCAATTTTTGTAGGAGGTCACGTACAAAATAATTTCATCTTCAGATGGCATTGTGAAACAAGTGAGTGCTCCTTGCAAAATGCTATCAGTTATTGCATAAGTAGGCAGGAAACAAGAGCCACCCCTTTGTCTAGGTGGGCTGTGGGATGTGCTGTCTTCAGATGCCAATTCACTTTTACACCAATGTGCAACACCAGAGTAAAAAAGGATATAAATAGATGTAAAACTCATGTTTATTCAAGCCCTCCTTTCTAGCATACTCAGCGTCTTCCTCTGAAGTGGAAGGCTGACTTCTGTGTAGTCTAGGTTAAGAGTTTGTAAATGGCTGTCTTCCTAACTCTAGCGGGAGGATACTGTCATGAGAGAAGCTTTTTGTAAGTTAAATGGCAACCTGTTAGAGTAACACATTGTTGCAAACTGTTGGTGGTAAAGTAGCAGCAACTTGGAAAGCTCTGTGACCCTAATCCAGACTTGTTTTAGAGGGTAACTTCTAATACAGAATCTTGTACAGTTTGGTCCAGTTGGAGGGTCAGCTGTCTATTTTGGAGCTCAGACTGCTGCCTTTTAAGATGAAAGCCATATTTTGTGAATATGAACTCCTTTTTAT